AAAAAAAAAAAAAAAAAGACGTAGAGGAAAAATTAACTTGTGCCAAGCCAAGGTGCGTGCGTCAGTGGCATGGACTTAAAGTCATGCCAGTTATGAAAGCCGAAGGCCAGGCCGGGCGCGGTGGCTCACGCCTGTAATCCCAGCACTTTGGGAGGCCGAGGCAGGTGGATCACAAGGTCAGTAGATCGAGACCATCCTGGCTAACACAGTGAAACCCCGTCTCTACTAAAAATACAAAAAAGTAGCCGGGCGTGGTGGCGGGTGCCTGTAGTCCCAGCTAACCGGGAGGCTGAGGCAGGAGAATGGCTTGAACCCGGGAGGCGGAGCTTGCAGTGAGCCGAGATCACACCACTGCACTCCAGCCTGGGCGACAGAGCGAGACTCCGTCTCAAAAAAAAAAAAAAAAAAGAAAAGCAAGCAAGCTGAAGGCCTAGGACCCAGCTATCTGACTATACTGGCCGTAGACCTAAGGGGCAGATAGGGTTAACCGTAACTTTGGTGTTTACACACGTTCAAGATTAATGCTTTTGCTGAAAGAATTTTTTTTTACTTGTCAGCCAAAGCTATAATCTCCCACTTCCTGTTTTCTCTTAGTTGGCCCACCAGCTGGAGGAGCTCCAGAGTATTTAAATTAATTTCCAATTGTGTAATTTGAGAAAAGGATGCGAAGATTAATTTCCTTCACAAGTAGGGAAGTGTGTTTTTTTCTTTTTCTTTTTTTGAGACGAAGTCTCCCTCTGTCCCCCAGGCTGGAGTGCAGTGGCACGATCTCGGCTCACTGCAAGATCCGCCTCCCGGGTTCACACCGTTCTCCTGCCTCCTCAGCCTCCTGAGTAGCTGGGACTACAGGCGCCCGCCACCCCGCCCAGCTAATTTTTTTGTGGTTTTAGTAGAGACTGGGCTTTCACCGTGTTAGCCAGGATGGCCTCTATCTTCTGACCTCATGATCTACCCGCCTCGGCCTCCCAAAGTTCTGGCATTATAGGCGTGCGCCACCGCGCCTGGCAGGAAGTGTGTTTCTTGAAGTTGGAAAGTGGTATTTCTGAACATCTGCTTTTGGCAGACTAAGTCAGTCACTTCATTTCCCTGATTTTTTGCCTAAGGTCCTGGGGAATTGACAAAGATTCTGCCCACATTTTAAGGACCCCGATAATTACATTTCATATGAATGAATAGTAGATGTCAGCAGGATTGTTATTAAGAGACTAGTATTATTTTTGTGGTGCACTTGGTTCTAGGTAGAAACAAAGAATGGAGAAAATTGGAGGATAATTGTCTTAGGGTTTCAAAGAAGTGCGTGATCTTCACAGAGTGCAGGGTCCTTAAAATAACAGTCTAAATTGGAGTGTTTGACAGGGCAGTGCATTATATTGTCGAAAACAGTACAGGTTTATGGTTCTAAAGACTGGTTTATTATTTTAAAAAATGTTTAACTTAATTTTTTTTAAGGAGATAGGGTTGCTGGTCTTGAACTCCTAGGCTATTGATCCTTCCGCCTCAGCCTCCCAAACTGCTAGGATTACAGTCATGAGCCACCATACCGGGCCAATTTTTTATTTTATTTTTGAGACAGAGTCTCGCTATATCACCCAGGCGGGAGTGCACAGGCATGCTCTTGGCTCACTGCAACCTTGCCTCCGAGGTTCAAGCAATTCTCCTGCCTCAGCCTCCTGAGTAGCTGAGATTACAGGCCTGCACCACTACGTGCAGCTAATTTTTGTATTTTTGGTACAGACGAAGTTTCACCATGTTGGCTCGGCTGGTATCGAACTCCTGGACTCAAGCTATCTGCCAGCCTCTGCTTCCCAAAGTGCTGGGATTACAGACATGAGCCACTGTGCCTGGCCTTTATTATATTTTTTATATTTGAGTGACATTTTGAAAGAACTTGCATATACATCCTTATGGTAACACTGTGAGACAGGCAGAGCAGACATATAAGACCTATTTTATAGATTAAAGATTAAAAACTGAATCTTAAAGGTGAACTGACCTGCTCACAGTTTTATGTTTAGTAATGGGCCAGAGCTGTGTCTGGAACCCAAGTCTTCCCATTTTTTGTGCTCCCACACGCGCACACACACACAAAATTTGCTGTTCAGATGAGATGGCATCTCATTGCTTCAGTTTGCATTGTTCTGACCACCAGAAAGTTTGAAAATCTTCTGATGTGCTTGGTAGGTGTTTTGATTTCCTCTTCTCTGAATTTTATGTATATTTTTACCTGGGTTGTTAATTGTATCATTAGCAGTTTTGCTGATGCTCTGGGTGTGTCGCAGATACTAACCCTTTGTTATGGGTTGTTATGGTTGTTTGTTGTTTGTCTTTTGATTTTGTGGATTTTTTTAACTGTATAAAATATTTAATATGTAATGAAATGTGCACAGCTCATCTTTTGACTTCTGCATACATTATAATCTGCCTTTAAATGTGTATTTCTTTTGTAGGTAAAAGTTTCATTTGATCTGAATACTATTCAAATAAAATACCTGGATGAGGAAAATGAAGAGGTAAAGTATATTATGGTACTTATTGCTAGGTGTTCAGAATAGCAATCTTATTTCTCCAGTGATATGGGCTTTAATAATTCAAAATAGTGTTTAGCTCATTTGTGTGGTGGTTTAAATATATTTGATAATTGAATATTCTAAGAAGACTTGCAGCATCTGAGATAGAGTTGAGAAACGGAGAAGCAACATTGAAGAATATCTCAGAGATAACTTTCACTTTAAAAAAAGAAAAAAAGAAAACGGGGTCTCACTATGTTGCTCAGGCCAGTCTAGAACTCCTGGGCCTAAGCAGTCCTCCCACCTCAGCCTCCCAAGGTGCTGGTAATATTACAGGTGTGAGACACCATGCCTGGCCTGAGATAACTGTTTTTTTTTTTTTTTTTTTTTTTTTTGAGACGGAGCCTCACTCTGTCGCCTAGGCTGGAGTGCAGTGGTGCAATCTCTGCTCACTACAACCTCCAGTTCCTGGGTTCAAGTGATTCTTCTGTCTCAGCCTCCCAAGTAGCTGGGATTACAGGTTTATACCACCACGCCTGGCTAATTTTTGTATTTTTAGTAGAGATGGGATTTCACCATGTTGGCCAAGCTGGTCTCAAACTCCTGGGCCCAAGCAGTCGGCCCGCCTTGACCTCCCAAAGTGCTGGGATTACAGGCATGAGCTACCACACCTGGCCAAGATAACCTAAAATTATGTAGTGGCCAGGCGCGGTGGCTCATGCCTGTAATCCCAGCACTTTGGGAGGCCGAGGTGGGCGGATCATGAGGTCAGGAGATTGAGACCATCCTGGCTAACATGGTGAAACCCCGTCTCTACTAAAAATACAAAAAATTAGCCGGACGTGGTGGCGGGCGCCTGTAGTCCCAGCTCCTCGGGGAGGCTGAGGCAGGAGAATGGCGAACCCGGGAGGCGGAGCTTGCAGTGAGCCGAGATTGCGCCACTGCACTCCAGCCTGGGCGACGAAGCGAGACTCTATCTCAGAAAAAAAAAAAATTATGTAGTGACCTTAAGTTCACATATAGTGTAAGCCATTCAGTTTATAATAATACAAATATAATAGCTAAGGCTTTTTTTTTTTTTTTTTTTTTTTTTTTTTTTTTTAAAGAGACACAGTCTTACTCTGTCGCCCAGCCTGGAGTGCATTGGCATGATCATAGCTCTCTGCAACCTAGAGCTCCTGGGTTCAAGGAATCCTCCCATCTCAGCCTTCTGGGTAGCTAGGACATGCCTCTGCATCCGCCAAATTTTTTAATTCTTTGGAGGGATGGGGTCTCACTTTGTTGCCCAGGTTAATGACTAAGCTTTATTGAGTGGTTACAGTGTGGCAGACTACCAACAATGCCATCTATTGAGTACATTATTATCATCACTATTTTACCCATGAGGAAACTGAGGCACAGAGAGGTGAAATAACTTGCCTAAACGCACAAAAACTTGGAAGTAGTAAAGTCAGGGTTCAGTCCATACCCTCTGGCTATAGAACTCAAACTCCTAACCGTTATATTGCACTGCCTCTTAATGTATCTGAAATAAAGGAGGGCACAGTAGATAAGCAATAAAATTTCTTAAGTATTATTCATGACTAGCAAGTGATACAGAAAAGCTGAAGGTTTGGCCTGAGTTTTTGTCTGTCCTATGGGGCTGGTCCTAGTAATGCTCGATTGATGAGACACATATAATTCACTGTTTTTTTTTCCTTTTATAGGTATCCATCAACAGTCAAGGTGAGTCCCTGAGAGAGTCTGTTCAGCTTTATTTAAAAGCCTTAATCTGCTCATTGAGGCATTTCTATTTGTACTCAAACCTTATTGCAGTATTAATTTTAGAGTTTGGAATTTGGTATACTACAAATTAACATTGCACTGATGGACATTAGTTACATAGGGGATTTTATTGTATAGCAGTTTTTTGTATATAGGATGATGCCTTTGAATGGACCCTAAGGACAGCTTTATTGGGAGGTTTTCATATTTAACATGCCAGTCCTCTGAGATTAATATGCCTCCCAGTTCAAGACATAAAAGTGTTCCCACGGTGTTGCATTTGTACAGTAGGTACAGTAAAAATGGACATTATAATCTTACGGGATCACCATCATACATGTGGTCGACCAAAATGTTACATGGCAGTGGTTACTATAGTGAAGAAAATTAACATATCCATCATCTCATTACAGTGGCCCTGTGGTGCCCTGAGTCTTCCCCAGAAACCAGCCATAATCTACTCATTTAGCAAAAATCACAAATATATGATTATTTAACTATAATACATTCCTCATGTTATACAGTCCATCTTTAGAATTGGCTATACTTAATCTTATAGATTCTTGAATGAATGAATGGATATGTACAAAATAAAAATAATTGGCTATACTTAATCTTATAGAATCTTTGGTTCTTGAAGGAGTCAATGGATGTGTACAAAATAAAAATAATTTTAAAATAATAGAATCTTTTGGGGTGTGTGAAGAACTATCATGGTGTATATTTTTTGTTCTTTTAGGAGAATATGAAGAAGCACTTAAGGTAATGATTATTTAATCTCATTTTCAAATAATTTAATATTATGGGTTATTGTTTTTTTTTTAAACAGGGTTGTGCTCTGTCATCCAGGCTGGCGTGCAGTGGCACAATCTGGGGTTGCTGCAACCTCCACCTCCCAGGCTTAGGTGATCGAGACCATCCTGGCAAACACGGTGAAACCCTGTGTATATTAAAAATACAAAAAATGGCCCGGCGCGGTGGCTCACGCCTGTAATCCCAGCACTTTGGGAGGCCGAGGCGGGCAGATCATGAGGTCAGGACATTGAGACCATCCTGGCTAACACGGTGAAACCCCATCTCTACTAAAAAAAAATACAAAAAATTAGCCGGGCATGGTGGCGGGAACCTGTAGTCCCAGCTACTCGGGAGGCTGAGGCAGGAGAATGGCATGAACCCGGGAGGCAGAGCTTGCAGTGAGCCAAGCCAAGCTGAGATCGCGCCACTGCACTCCAGCCTGGGTGACAGAGCGAGACTCTGTCTCAAAAAAAAAATACAAAATATTAGCCGGGCGTGGTGGCGGGCACCTGTAGTCCCAGCTACCCGGGAGGCTGAGGCAGGAGAATGGTGTGAACCCGGGAGGTGGAGCTTGCAGTGAGCCGAGATCGCGCCACTGCACTCTAGCCTGGGTGACAGAGCAAGACTCCGTCTCAAAAAAAAAAAAAAAAAAAAAAAAGAAAAACAACCTTGACAAAGAAAACTGATTTGTTACTAAATCCCTATTTCTGAGATAAGCTACATTTCAAAGACATTCTCCGTAAAAGAAAAATTGGATTCAATTATCATACCAGATGGCTTTCATTCTCACCACTTAAGCTACATTTCAAAGACATTCTCCGTAAAAGAAAAATTGGATTCAGTTATCATACCAGATGGCTTTCATTCTCACCACTGACTCAATTCTGAAATAATTATATTTCAGTATGGTAATTATAATCTAAACTATATAAACACACCGTAAACACAAACTTTGAACAGATGAAAACTCCAATATGTAAAAAGGTAATGAATGCTCAAGGAAGACTGTGAAAAGGGAATAGGAAAAAAATTAAAATGTTCCTCTTCTAGGTCCCAGTGAGAGTAAATGTTTACTATAAAAATGGTTCAAATATTTTAAGCACTTTTCAAACCAGGCAATATTTTAGGCGTACTGTACATTTGCATTTTGAGCTTCCAATACGGATAAGTGACTGGAAAAAGCAGCTAGGTTTAGGTTGAAAAACAACCACCCACTGGTGTACACATTTTAGCAAATTCTTCTGAAAGTCAAAAATGTTATAGGTAAAAAGTTACAGAGAACTACCAATTGTCAGAAATAGCTGCCAAATAGCAACTTAGAAGTCAGCAGAAGGAATTTTAGTTCAAGAAACCTAAAAAAAGCTGAAAATCTTACCTACCCTCTAGCTACCACAAATAACACAGTTTCCAGTCATGATCAAGAATCATATATTAAGACATAACTGCAAATTGTGCTATATTGTACTGTATTAAAAGGAAGCGAAATATGATCCCCATCCTAGAACTTTCTATAAAAATGAATCTAAAAAACCGTTAAAAATTTATCTTAACCCAGGCCCAGTGGCTCACGCCTGTAATCCCAGCACTTTGGGAGGCCGAGGCTGGCAGATCACAAGGTCAGGAGTTCAAAACTAGCCTGACTAACATGGTGAAACCCTATCGCTACTAAAAATACAAAATTAGCCGGCCACGGTGGTGCACGCCTGTAATCCCAGGTACTCAGGAGGCTGAGGCAGAGGAAGCGCCTGGACCTGGGAGGCGGAGGTTGCAGTGAACCAAGATGGAGCCACTGCACTCCAGACTGGGTGACAGAGTGTGACTCCATCTCAAAAAAAAAAAAAAAAAGTCTGGGCGTGGTGGCTCACGCCTGTAATCTCAACACTTTGGTAGGCCAAGGCGGGCAGATCACCTGAGGACAGGAGTTCCAGACCAACTCGACCAACATGGAGAAACCCTGTCTCTACTATAAAATACAAAATTAGCTGGTGTAATGGCACATGCCTGCAATCCCAGCTACTCCGGAGGCTGAGGCAGGAGAATCGCTTGAACCGGGGAGGTAGAGGTTGTGGTGAGCTGAGATCCCACCACTGCACTCCAGTCTGGGCAACAAGAGCGAAACTTCGTCTCAAAAAATAAATAAATAAATAAATTAGGCGGGGCGGTGGCTCATGCCTGTAATCCCACCACTTTGGGGGGCCAAGGCGGGCGGATCACGAGATCAGGAAACTGAGATCACCCTGGCTAACATCGTGAAACCCCGTATCCACTAAAAATACAAAAATTATCTGGGCGTGGTGGCACCCGCCTGTAGTCGCAGCTACTTGGCAGGCTGAGGCAGGACAATCGCTGGTACCTGGGAGATGGAGGTTGCAGTGAGCTGAGATCGCACCATAGCACGCACTCCAGCCTGGGCAACAGAACGAGACTCTATCTCAAAAAAATAAAAAAAATAAAAAACTAATCTAACAGGAAACAGGAAAAAAGCAATGAAAAGCTAGAAAACATACAAGAGTTGACTGAAAATAAAAATTTAGCATTTTCATTCTTACATCTTTAATTTTTATGTATCTGAGTTTTTAATTGATGGCTTAATTTGCCAGAATGAGAAAGAACATCCTATTTTTATGACTCTGTCCCATGGAAATGTAAAGATAAATGGATCCAAATGCCACACTATTGAGGATTTTTTTGATCACTCTGATTGTCATGAGTAAGTTTTGTGCTTTTTCAAAAGCAGTTTTTTCCTACACTGTCATTTCCTGCTTCTCTGGCTCTGATTTTCAATAAATTGATAAATTGTAAATCTTGTTTTCCTCTTATTTTTGTTTAGCTAAAATGTTGAAGGGCAAGGGAGAGGATGGTTATTTATAAATCTTGTTATCTCTCTGAAAACACAACTTGCATTTTCCTTAATCTGATTAACTTGACTTCAAATATGAAAAACAACTTTCATAAAGCACAAAAGAAAATTTCCTTGAATTTACCCTTTTTTATTGTGGGTAAGAGACAATAGGTACAAGTTTTCAACTTATTTTTTGAATGTTACTCACTACTAACCATCACCATATTTTAAAAAATTAAAGAACTAATTTAGTTTAGTTTATTATTTAATGTATTTGACAAATGTTTATTGAGTGGCAACTAGGTCCCAAGTACCATTCTAACTACTGAATATACAGATGTACGTAAACAAAACAAAAATCTCTCCCGTCCTGGAGTTTACATTCTGTGGGACTAAAGGATGGATACATTACATAGAATGTCAGCTAATCATAAGTGTTATGGAGAAGCAGCAGGAATGGAGGATAAAGTGTGTGTTGGGGATGTTGTAATTTTAAATAGCAGTGTCTGGAAATGAAAAGGTGGTATTTCAATCAAGATTTTCAGACCATGGCTGGGTGCAATGGCTCACGCCTGTAATCCCAACACTTTGAGAGGCCGAGGCCTCACTTGAGGTCAGGAGTTTGAGACCAGCATGGCCAACATGGCAAAACCCTATCTCTACAAAAAAAAAAAATACAAAAATTATCTGGGCATGGTGGTGTGCACCTATAGTCCCTAATACTCTGGAAGCTGAGGCAGGAGGATTGCTTGAGCCTGACAAGGTTGAGGCTACAGTGAGCTGTGATAGCACCACTGCACTTCAGCTTCTCGACACAAATCCTGTATAAAAAAACCTCTGCATTTCATTGTATGTAAATGAGTATGTAATTTCATTGTATGTACAGAGCCAGTTTCAGACAAAGGTTCTTCCAAATACCTATCCCCTTAAGGACACCAATCATCCATGATCTCTTTTTTTTTTGAGATGGAGTTTAGCTCTGTCGCTGGAGTTCAGTGGTGTAATACTGGCTCACTGCAACATCTGCCTCCCGGTTCAAGTGATTCTCCTGCCTCAGCCTCCCAAGTAGCTGGAATTACAGGCCCGCGCCGCTATGCCCAGCTAATTTTGGTATTTTTAGTGGAGAGGGGGTTTCACCATGTTGGCTAGGCCGGTGTCTATCTCCTGACCTTGTGATCCTCCCACCCTGGCCTCCCAAAGTGCTGGGATTACAAGCGTTAAGCCACCATCCCTGGCCTCATCCATGATTTTATTTCGCCATTTCAAGTGATGGAGCTGGTTTTAGAGCTGGAAGAAAAGCCAAAATGCCAGTTAATCTAAACTCGATTCCTGCCCCAGTGCAGAACCAATCAAGAGAGAGTCCCTGTCTTTCCCGGACCACAGGCTTTGTGTTGAACAGGAGAGGAGTGGGAGAGCCAGAGTGGATGGAGAACAAGGAATCATTTTCTATACTTTTAAAGTTCTTCAGTTAAGAAAATCAGCAATTACAATAGCCTAATCTTACTAGACATGTGTTCTCCTCCCTACTATGTAAGGTCAATTCTGTTCATTTGCATAGGAGATAATCATACAGAAATCCCAAATTAATACCCTCTCGTGCTGACTTACCAGATTGGACACTCTAAGATTTTCTGCATAGCATTAATGACATTTTGTACTTCTTCAACGCGAACAGCAGATAAATCCATTTCTTTCTGTTCCAATGAACTTAAACACATTAGAAAAAATACATATATATACATATATATAGCTTTAAAAAAGGTTTATAAAATGACAACTTCATTTTATCATTTTAAAATAAGGTAAATAGGGCTGGGCGTGGTGGCTCACGCCTGTAATCACAGCACTTTGGGAGGCCGAGACGGGAGGATGACCTGAGGTCGGGAGTTCAAGACCAGCCTGACCAACATGGAGTTTTTTTTTTTTTGAGAATGATCTTGCTCTGTAGCCCGGGCTGGACTGCGGTGGCCGGATCTCAGCTCACTGCAAGCTCCGCCTTCGGTTCGCCATTCTCCTGCTCAGCCTCCGGAGTGGCTGGGACTACAGGCCGTCGCCACCTCGCCCGGCTAGTTTTGTATTTTTAGTAGAGACGGGGTTTCACCGTGTTAGCCAGGATGGTCTCGATCTCCTGACCTCGTGATCCAGCCGTCTCGGCCTCCCAAAGTGCTGGGATTACAGGCTTGAGCCACCGCGCCCGGCCTAAAATAAGGTAAATTTAAGATTTTGAAGGTTTTAGAATACAAACCATAGAGCTAATGACAAAATCCTTTATTTTTTTAAAGGTTCTAGAACTGGCTCTTTGTAATTAAACAACATACATTCTGTGCAGTGGCCGGATCTCAGCTCACTGCAAGCTCCGCCTTCCGGGTTTACGCCATTCTCCTGCCTCAGCCTCCGGAGTAGCTGGGACTACAGGCGCCCGCCACCTCGCCCGGCTAGTTTTTTGTATTTTTAGTAGAGACGGGGTTTCACCGTGTTAGCCAGGATGGTCTCGATCTCCTGACCTCGTGATCCGCCCGTCTCGGCCTCCCAAAGTGCTGGGATTACAGGCTTGAGCCACCGCGCCCGGCCTAAAATAAGGTAAATTTAAGATTTTGAAGGTTTTAGAATACAAACCATAGAGCTAATGACAAAATCCTTTATTTTTTTAAAGGTTCTAGAACTGGCTCTTTGTAATTAAACAACATACATTCTGTAATTCTTCACATATCGTTGCCAAGCCCTTGGGTCTTTTCCTCTCTCCAAGAAAGAGAAAGCTACAGAGGAGTGACTGACCGGGTAAGTGGTGGTCACCTTAGGTTTCTCCAATGTTTCTGGCTGCTTTCTTTTTCTTGCATAAAACCAAAATCAACGACAAAACCAACACCAATCAGCACCTCCCCGCCCCTAACCCTTCCCAGTGACCTGCTCTCATCTCAGGATCCTCCTCAAGCACATTCCTGCCGGCAGCATCTGTTACTACTGACGCTCCTCTACTTCCCTCTTGTGCTTTCTCAATAGCGCAAATGGATCCAGTTCTTAAGTTCTCCCTCCCACAAAACCCTGTCTCCTCCCCTTCCCAGACGTATTCCTGGCATCTCTTCCGCAAGGTCCCATCCACTCATACATATCAGCCAGTGTTTTGTCTGTTTTTTTGAGACAGAGTCTCGCTCTGTCGCCCAGGCTGGTGGGCAATGGCGCGATCTCGGCTCACTGCAACCTCCGCCTCCCGGGTTCTAGCGATTCTCCTGCCTCAGCCTCCTGAGTAGCTGGAGCGCCACCACGCCCGGCTAATTTCTGTATTTTTAGTAGAGACGGAGTTCCACCATGTTGGTCAGGCTGGTCTGGAAGTCCTGACCTCGTGACCAGCCGATGTTTTTATAGACGTGGTGTCCCCCTCAAGGCATATTTCAGTTCCTATCACGATGATTCCCCCTCGGACACACCGTGCCCCCTTCCTGATCCTCAGAGCTTCCCTCGCGACCTACAAACTGCCCCTTCCCCAGGGTTCACAACTCCTTACGCCTCTCAGCTTCCGCCACCGCCCCCCCCCCCAAAAGAATACCCACTCTCTCTCCCACGCCAGTCCCCCAAAGCATCACTTGGACCCGGGACTCTACTACCTTTACCCAGAGCAGAGGGTGCAGGCCTCTGGGGCCCAGGGGCCCAGTTATCTGAGAACGGCCTGTTCCCCGTCCAGAAAGTCTCAGCGAGCCCACGCCGCGCAGTCGCAGTTTTAATTTATCTGTAATTCCCGCGCTTTTCCGTTGCCACGGAAACCAGCTGGCTACCGCTAAGCAACAGTCGCTCAGAATACGAAATCAAGGCACAATCAGAGGAAGGGCGGGACAGAAGGCGCCAAGTCTCTCTCGGGGCTCTGGATTGGCCACCCAGTCTGCCCCCAGATAACGTAAAACGAAAGAGACGGAAGAGGAAGAATTCTACCCGAGTTTGCCCTAAAGTGCCGGCCCTCTGGCCTCTACGCGTCCAGTTGCGGCTTATTACGTCACAGTAATTGCTGTACGAGAGTCAGAATCACTACCTAGTGTCCAAAGCAGTCGTAAAAAGAGGTCCCATTCCCCCACTCTTTCCGCCCTAATGGAGGTCTCCAGTTTAGGTAAATATAAGGAATAAGGATTGTTGGGGGGGGGGGGGGGGGTGGACGGAAAGAACTATTTCCAGCATTCGCTGCGGAAAGGTCGTTGCCACAGTGTTCCTTGTGGAAAGTGTAGTCTTATGGAGAGAAACATCCAATAGCGAAGCGGGCACAATTCTCACGAAAATCCAGCGGATAGATTGGAGACCTCCACGCGCTTATACACGTCAACAGTTATGGATTGGAGTGTTGTTATGTTTTCGTATCTTGAAAGGAAAAACTAGGCCTAAAAAAAATACCTACAACTCTTAGGAAGACTACAATTCCCATCCAGCCCCACGAGTCTCGGGCAAATAGTCCTCTAAGGTCAGTGACCTGTGGCGACGCAGTGGGCGCCGAATTTGTCTGGGGAAGGGGAAATCCTCTCTGGCCCACGTCTGCGCACTCGTAGTTCCGCCCCTCGGCCCCAATGTTTGTTATTGTTGTTCGACTCCGGTTTCTTCTGCCCCGCCCCGTCGACGCAATCTCCACCAATCAATGGGGTAGTCGTTTTGAGGGACAAGTGGTAAGAGCCAATCATCTTTGCGAAAACTGGGAGTTACGTGACTAGTTACAGTCTATGCGCCTTGTTAGATTCACCCCACAGTGATAGCGGCAGAGCTGGCAGCGGACAGTTCTGGCTTTGGCCTCCGGCAGGCCCCTCACTGGAGCGGGAAGCTGGTAAGGAAACAGCCTCGGTTACCTAGGGGTGGGGTCACGTCACCCTAAGAGGGTTTGGAGAAGTTCAAGGGAGGAATCCTGCAAAGAAGAGGGGCGACTTTTCCCGTGTCTCGGGACAGCTAATCTTTTTAGTGACAGGATGAGAGAGCACTTCGTGTTCAGAGGGACCGAGTGGGCGAAAAGCGCCGGAGAGTTGTAGAGTCTGTGGTTGAGAACATCGGCTTCTGCTGATGGAAGGCCACGACTCCCCAGTGGAAAGAGGGTCCAGGCAAAGAAAATGAGAGAGAGTCCTCGCGGTGGTGACACTGTCTTGGGAACATTAAGTGCTAGGAAACGATAACTGGAAGACTAGGATGAACTCTGCAAGTAAAAAAAATGACACTACCTACACATCTTTGTCATCCCATCCTCCTTTTTTCGAGACCCTGTTAAAGAGATCTCCTTGGTTAGGGACCTTCGGTGTTGGAAAGGCACTGTTTTTCCTTTTTGTCAAACATCCAGCTTTCAGGCCACATTTTTTTTTTTTTTTTGAGACAGAGTCTTACTGTCTCAAAGACCAGCCCAGGCTGGTCTGGAACTCCTGAGTTCAAGCGATCTTCCTGCCTCAGCCTCCCAAAATGCTGGGATTACAGGCATGAGCCACTGCTCCCGGCCTCGGGTCGCACATTTTAAAGTTTGAATAACTTGTCTTGTACAGGCCTCTGGTGGAGACAGTAATCAAAGCTCAGGTTGCCAGGTCTGTTTCATTAAAGGGATTTTGTTAAGGCTGGAAAAAAAAAAAAAAAAAAGACGTAGAGGAAAAATTAACTTGTGCCAAGCCAAGGTGCGTGCGTCAGTGGCATGGACTTAAAGTCATGCCAGTTATGAAAGCCGAAGGCCAGGCCGGGCGCGGTGGCTCACGCCTGTAATCCCAGCACTTTGGGAGGCCGAGGCAGGTGGATCACAAGGTCAGTAGATCGAGACCATCCTGGCTAACACAGTGAAACCCCGTCTCTACTAAAAATACAAAAAAGTAGCCGGGCGTGGTGGCGGGTGCCTGTAGTCCCAGCTAACCGGGAGGCTGAGGCAGGAGAATGGCTTGAACCCGGGAGGCGGAGCTTGCAGTGAGCCGAGATCACACCACTGCACTCCAGCCTGGGCGACAGAGCGAGACTCCGTCTCAAAAAAAAAAAAAAAAAAGAAAAGCAAGCAAGCTGAAGGCCTAGGACCCAGCTATCTGACTATACTGGCCGTAGACCTAAGGGGCAGATAGGGTTAACCGTAACTTTGGTGTTTACACACGTTCAAGATTAATGCTTTTGCTGAAAGAATTTTTTTTTACTTGTCAGCCAAAGCTATAATCTCCCACTTCCTGTTTTCTCTTAGTTGGCCCACCAGCTGGAGGAGCTCCAGAGTATTTAAATTAATTTCCAATTGTGTAATTTGAGAAAAGGATGCGAAGATTAATTTCCTTCACAAGTAGGGAAGTGTGTTTTTTTCTTTTTCTTTTTTTGAGACGAAGTCTCCCTCTGTCCCCCAGGCTGGAGTGCAGTGGCACGATCTCGGCTCACTGCAAGATCCGCCTCCCGGGTTCACACCGTTCTCCTGCCTCCTCAGCCTCCTGAGTAGCTGGGACTACAGGCGCCCGCCACCCCGCCCAGCTAATTTTTTTGTGGTTTTAGTAGAGACTGGGCTTTCACCGTGTTAGCCAGGATGGCCTCTATCTTCTGACCTCATGATCTACCCGCCTCGGCCTCCCAAAGTTCTGGCATTATAGGCGTGCGCCACCGCGCCTGGCAGGAAGTGTGTTTCTTGAAGTTGGAAAGTGGTATTTCTGAACATCTGCTTTTGGCAGACTAAGTCAGTCACTTCATTTCCCTGATTTTTTGCCTAAGGTCCTGGGGAATTGACAAAGATTCTGCCCACATTTTAAGGACCCCGATAATTACATTTCATATGAATGAATAGTAGATGTCAGCAGGATTGTTATTAAGAGACTAGTATTATTTTTGTGGTGCACTTGGTTCTAGGTAGAAACAAAGAATGGAGAAAATTGGAGGATAATTGTCTTAGGGTTTCAAAGAAGTGCGTGATCTTCACAGAGTGCAGGGTCCTTAAAATAACAGTCTAAATTGGAGTGTTTGACAGGGCAGTGCATTATATTGTCGAAAACAGTACAGGTTTATGGTTCTAAAGACTGGTTTATTATTTTAAAAAATGTTTAACTTAATTTTTTTTAAGGAGATAGGGTTGCTGGTCTTGAACTCCTAGGCTATTGATCCTTCCGCCTCAGCCTCCCAAACTGCTAGGATTACAGTCATGAGCCACCATACCGGGCCAATTTTTTATTTTATTTTTGAGACAGAGTCTCGCTATATCACCCAGGCGGGAGTGCACAGGCATGCTCTTGGCTCACTGCAACCTTGCCTCCGAGGTTCAAGCAATTCTCCTGCCTCAGCCTCCTGAGTAGCTGAGATTACAGGCCTGCACCACTACGTGCAGCTAATTTTTGTATTTTTGGTACAGACGAAGTTTCACCATGTTGGCTCGGCTGGTATCGAACTCCTGGACTCAAGCTATCTGCCAGCCTCTGCTTCCCAAAGTGCTGGGATTACAGACATGAGCCACTGTGCCTGGCCTTTATTATATTTTTTATATTTGAGTGACATTTTGAAAGAACTTGCATATACATCCTTATGGTAACACTGTGAGACAGGCAGAGCAGACATATAAGACCTATTTTATAGATTAAAGATTAAAAACTGAATCTTAAAGGTGAACTGACCTGCTCACAGTTTTATGTTTAGTAATGGGCCAGAGCTGTGTCTGGAACCCAAGTCTTCCCATTTTTTGTGCTCCCACACGCGCACACACACACAAAATTTGCTGTTCAGATGAGATGGCATCTCATTGCTTCAGTTTGCATTGTTCTGACCACCAGAAAGTTTGAAAATCTTCTGATGTGCTTGGTAGGTGTTTTGATTTCCTCTTCTCTGAATTTTATGTATATTTTTACCTGGGTTGTTAATTGTATCATTAGCAGTTTTGCTGATGCTCTGGGTGTGTCGCAGATACTAACCCTTTGTTATGGGTTGTTATGGTTGTTTGTTGTTTGTCTTTTGATTTTGTGGATTTTTTTAACTGTATAAAATATTTAATATGTAATGAAATGTGCACAGCTCATCTTTTGACTTCTGCATACATTATAATCTGCCTTTAAATGTGTATTTCTTTTGTAGGTAAAAGTTTCATTTGATCTGAATACTATTCAAATAAAATACCTGGATGAGGAAAATGAAGAGGTAAAGTATATTATGGTACTTATTGCTAGGTGTTCAGAATAGCAATCTTATTTCTCCAGTGATATGGGCTTTAATAATTCAAAATAGTGTTTAGCTCATTTGTGTGGTGGTTTAAATATATTTGATAATTGAATATTCTAAGAAGACTTGCAGCATCTGAGATAGAGTTGAGAAACGGAGAAGCAACATTGAAGAATATCTCAGAGATAACTTTCACTTTAAAAAAAGAAAAAAAGAAAACGGGGTCTCACTATGTTGCTCAGGCCAGTCTAGAACTCCTGGGCCTAAGCAGTCCTCCCACCTCAGCCTCCCAAGGTGCTGGTAATATTACAGGTGTGAGACACCATGCCTGGCCTGAGATAACTGTTTTTTTTTTTTTTTTTTTTTTTTTTGAGACGGAGCCTCACTCTGTCGCCTAGGCTGGAGTGCAGTGGTGCAATCTCTGCTCACTACAACCTCCAGTTCCTGGGTTCAAGTGATTCTTCTGTCTCAGCCTCCCAAGTAGCTGGGATTACAGGTTTATACCACCACGCCTGGCTAATTTTTGTATTTTTAGTAGAGATGGGATTTCACCATGTTGGCCAAGCTGGTCTCAAACTCCTGGGCCCAAGCAGTCGGCCCGCCTTGACCTCCCAAAGTGCTGGGATTACAGGCATGAGCTACCACACCTGGCCAAGATAACCTAAAATTATGTAGTGGCCAGGCGCGGTGGCTCATGCCTGTAATCCCAGCACTTTGGGAGGCCGAGGTGGGCGGATCATGAGGTCAGGAGATTGAGACCATCCTGGCTAACATGGTGAAACCCCGTCTCTACTAAAAATACAAAAAATTAGCCGGACGTGGTGGCGGGCGCCTGTAGTCCCAGCTCCTCGGGGAGGCTGAGGCAGGAGAATGGCGAACCCGGGAGGCGGAGCTTGCAGTGAGCCGAGATTGCGCCACTGCACTCCAGCCTGGGCGACGAAGCGAGACTCTATCTCAGAAAAAAAAAAAATTATGTAGTGACCTTAAGTTCACATATAGTGTAAGCCATTCAGTTTATAATAATACAAATATAATAGCTAAGGCTTTTTTTTTTTTTTTTTTTTTTTTTTTTTTTTTTAAAGAGACACAGTCTTACTCTGTCGCCCAGCCTGGAGTGCATTGGCATGATCATAGCTCTCTGCAACCTAGAGCTCCTGGGTTCAAGGAATCCTCCCATCTCAGCCTTCTGGGTAGCTAGGACATGCCTCTGCATCCGCCAAATTTTTTAATTCTTTGGAGGGATGGGGTCTCACTTTGTTGCCCAGGTTAATGACTAAGCTTTATTGAGTGGTTACAGTGTGGCAGACTACCAACAATGCCATCTATTGAGTACATTATTATCATCACTATTTTACCCATGAGGAAACTGAGGCACAGAGAGGTGAAATAACTTGCCTAAACGCACAAAAACTTGGAAGTAGTAAAGTCAGGGTTCAGTCCATACCCTCTGGCTATAGAACTCAAACTCCTAACCGTTATATTGCACTGCCTCTTAATGTATCTGAAATAAAGGAGGGCACAGTAGATAAGCAATAAAATTTCTTAAGTATTATTCATGACTAGCAAGTGATACAGAAAAGCTGAAGGTTTGGCCTGAGTTTTTGTCTGTCCTATGGGGCTGGTCCTAGTAATGCTCGATTGATGAGACACATATAATTCACTGTTTTTTTTTCCTTTTATAGGTATCCATCAACAGTCAAGGTGAGTCCCTGAGAGAGTCTGTTCAGCTTTATTTAAAAGCCTTAATCTGCTCATTGAGGCATTTCTATTTGTACTCAAACCTTATTGCAGTATTAATTTTAGAGTTTGGAATTTGGTATACTACAAATTAACATTGCACTGATGGACATTAGTTACATAGGGGATTTTATTGTATAGCAGTTTTTTGTATATAGGATGATGCCTTTGAATGGACCCTAAGGACAGCTTTATTGGGAGGTTTTCATATTTAACATGCCAGTCCTCTGAGATTAATATGCCTCCCAGTTCAAGACATAAAAGTGTTCCCACGGTGTTGCATTTGTACAGTAGGTACAGTAAAAATGGACATTATAATCTTACGGGATCACCATCATACATGTGGTCGACCAAAATGTTACATGGCAGTGGTTACTATAGTGAAGAAAATTAACATATCCATCATCTCATTACAGTGGCCCTGTGGTGCCCTGAGTCTTCCCCAGAAACCAGCCATAATCTACTCATTTAGCAAAAATCACAAATATATGATTATTTAACTATAATACATTCCTCATGTTATACAGTCCATCTTTAGAATTGGCTATACTTAATCTTATAGATTCTTGAATGAATGAATGGATATGTACAAAATAAAAATAATTGGCTATACTTAATCTTATAGAATCTTTGGTTCTTGAAGGAGTCAATGGATGTGTACAAAATAAAAATAATTTTAAAATAATAGAATCTTTTGGGGTGTGTGAAGAACTATCATGGTGTATATTTTTTGTTCTTTTAGGAGAATATGAAGAAGCACTTAAGGTAATGATTATTTAATCTCATTTTCAAATAATTTAATATTATGGGTTATTGTTTTTTTTTTAAACAGGGTTGTGCTCTGTCATCCAGGCTGGCGTGCAGTGGCACAATCTGGGGTTGCTGCAACCTCCACCTCCCAGGCTTAGGTGATCGAGACCATCCTGGCAAACACGGTGAAACCCTGTGTATATTAAAAATACAAAAAATGGCCCGGCGCGGTGGCTCACGCCTGTAATCCCAGCACTTTGGGAGGCCGAGGCGGGCAGATCATGAGGTCAGGACATTGAGACCATCCTGGCTAACACGGTGAAACCCCATCTCTACTAAAAAAAAATACAAAAAATTAGCCGGGCATGGTGGCGGGAACCTGTAGTCCCAGCTACTCGGGAGGCTGAGGCAGGAGAATGGCATGAACCCGGGAGGCAGAGCTTGCAGTGAGCCAAGCCAAGCTGAGATCGCGCCACTGCACTCCAGCCTGGGTGACAGAGCGAGACTCTGTCTCAAAAAAAAAATACAAAATATTAGCCGGGCGTGGTGGCGGGCACCTGTAGTCCCAGCTACCCGGGAGGCTGAGGCAGGAGAATGGTGTGAACCCGGGAGGTGGAGCTTGCAGTGAGCCGAGATCGCGCCACTGCACTCTAGCCTGGGTGACAGAGCAAGACTCCGTCTCAAAAA